GGTCACTAGATTCTCTCCTAAATTTACCAATGTGTTTAGGACTTAAATAGAAAGTTGGCTGCTGCAAAGCTCTGGCTGAAATGGGACTGAGCTGTGACTGGCCTTTAGCTATATATTTTAGAATAATTTATGGGTTACTTGTGCCTGTACAGTCTAGACCTTTAATGCTTGGACATAAGATTCAGAACTAAACCAGCTGGTTGCAAAAATTGCTGGCCACAAAATCAGAGTCCCACCAGAAGCAGCCCAAAGCAGCAGGAGGAGGTGGAGCTCAGGAGCTTTTAAGAGAACATGCTAGAAGTGTGGACCCCTTCCTGACCAGCCTTGGAAGAACCTGGTCCTGTGTACCATAGACTCTTGCACCAGGCCCATCAGCACCAAGCTGCCTGTGATGGTGGGGCCAAACCTTTTCCAGAGCTCAGGCAGGCGGAAGGTGGCACCAAGGACGGTTCTTTCCATATCTTATGACCCTGAGACTTTGAGCCATTTAGTAGAAAAAGAACTGACTTTGAAAATTCCATGTCTGGAGCCTATGTTTATGCCTGTCTCCTTAGCTCTGCTGGACTGAGAGCTCTTGAGGGTAGGACCTGGAGCTTACTCATCTTTGTTTCTTCTCAATGCCCAGTACTGCCAGGCACAGAGTGCCTCTTGAAAGTCGAGAACGTTAAGTCAAACAAAGATTGACTCCTGTGAAATGCTCAGTATTGCAAGCTATTTATTAGGATGTTTCTAAATGATGTTTTTCACTAACTTGTTTAAAATAACCTTATGGGAAACAGAGTAACCAATGTAATGATATGATAAAAAAAGTAAAATGTCAATAATGTTATTATTAGAGACCATGAGTCTTAATGAAACTTTGTATAAATGTACTGTCCTTAGCCAATGGCTATGGCAAATCAATATGATATACAATCAATATGAAAGTTATTCATATTTCCAAAATTTAAGAAAGCCAGTTTGAAGCAGGGTTTATTATATGTATATTAATTTCCATGTTCTATCAGTTTAATCTGACACTGTTCAGTGCCTTTATAATAAACACATGCTTTACACAGTGTTAAGAAACCAAGTAAAGATCATGCCTCCTTCTCTTTTCTATAATGGATCAGACCGAATTTTCTAGGCTCCTTGTGAATAGTGAAACATTGTTTGCTTTCAAAGTGAATGCTAGTTTTGCCTGTGACAGTCTGACCTACCCCGAACCTGAGAGGTAAATGGCACCCACTCATTTTACACAGTGTTTAACATGATGGAAAAAAACACCTGGGAGGACACTGAGCATGTGCGGTCCTACCCTGGGTTTGCTGCACTGTGCTGTGCAGTAGGGAAGTCACTTCCTTTCCTGATGGCTCCGTTTCCTCCACAATCAGGAAGTCTGATTAGATCTTTGCTGAAATTATGGGATTCCTGCTCAGATCTTATCTGGAATTAGAAATTATTTACCCCTGGTATGGATAAAAATAATGGTGATTTTAATTACTTTACTATTTATAGATTAAAGGAAACATCATGCTTTTGTAAGGCTAACTTAGAACATTAGTCTTTTCTAACTCCATTCCTCTTGGATCTGTATCAGGCTCAGCACATCCTTTGGACCCACTGGTGAACAGGCCTGCTCTGCGGACTCTGACCTTCCGTATGAGGAGACAGAGGAGAGTTGGAGGCACCAAGGCCAGTGGTGGGCAGCAAGGATGCCACCCATCAAGACCTGATGAGAAGCAGTCTTTTGTTTTTAATTAAAAACATAACTTTTAAAATGCTTCATTCATTTTTTGTTTTTGTAGAATCAAAACACAGGAATTTTTCTTAAATGAAAACCAGAAACAGTTCAAACTTTTTTTTTTAAAGCGGGCAAGTTAAAAAAAGCAGCCTAGGAAATTGTCCTTTGTAATTCTGCCAGTTTCAATTTTGAGTCTTTATGCAACTAGTATCAGGATAATAATATTTGGTTGAAAAGAAAAAGATGAAAGTATTAAGTGCTGCTCTGCACCCTTTTCAGTGGTCTGATTGATTAATGGGAGGCTGGCTACTGTGACTGCAGTTGCTTTGATGGATGACAAAAAAAGAAAGAAAAAGGAAAAGAAAGTCATAATAGAACATCAATACTTTAAATATCCTAAGTAACTTCATATATAAGTAGACCCTAAAAAGTGTCCATGACAATAGCTCTAATTATTTTTCACTGCTGCTATTAGTGTCACAAATTGAAAGGGGAACATGGATCAAATTTAGGCAAAATATTAAATTCACTATAGGTAAATAGTATTTATTAGATGCCTATTATTTGCTGCTTAGTTTTGTTGAAACAACTGGCATTTCTTTTCTAGCTACACCCTAGGACCTTGTGCAAAGAACCCAACATCTCATAGTTGCAAAGATTATGAAATATTCAGCTTTACCCATGGGTATTTCCTGACATTTCTTTGGTAAACTATGGTCTTCTAGAAGATATCAGGAATTAGTGTAAGAAATATTCTAAAAAGCTATTGTCACTACAAAGATGAAAGCAACTTTGATGATCAAAAAGAAGTCAATAAAAAAAGACTGAAAGTAGTTCCTGAATCCTTCCCTATTGTTCATTTGGGATTTCTTAATTTCCCTGCTCTCAATATATTATGGAATTTTCTGTGTGAAGTTTTGCCATGAATTAAAGTGATGTTAACAAAGTTTTACCTTAAGTCATATTTTACGGCTGACGGAGAAGCCCCCGTCCTCCAGGGAGCACCCTCTCCTGCTTTGAAGAAGCTGGTCTTTTCTCCTTGTAGTCACAAGTGTCCTTCACAGAGAACGGTGCTCAGCTGACCTCAAGTGACCATTAGACCCAGGCTGCTTTGACCTGACACCACCGCACTCCCATCTGAGGGGGAGGCTTTATCGGCAGCCGGTCTGCTAGGCGTCCCTTTCCTTTGCCCTTGCTTCTCTTTGCCCGTGGAAGGTCAATGGCATTTGCTACTACTGCAGGCATTTAGAACAATGTCTGTTTTCCTGACAACTTTAATAAACTCACTTTCACTATCACTGCCACCCATTTTTGTTTTGTTACTATTATAGTTTCAAAATTGTCATGAAAGGAGCAAAGATTTGAAATTCAGATAAACTTGGGTCTGAAAATCTTCAGTATTTCTTCCTAGCTGTGTGGTCTTGGGTGAGTTAAGCAACTAATCTGGGTTTTAGTATGTCATCTATAAAATACTGTGAGCATTCAATGAGCTAACGTGTGATGTTTCTTTTATAGTGTCTGTCATCTTACAGGCATTTGATAAAGTATAATTTTTTATCCCAGTATTTTCATTTTGTCTTCCTACTGACGTGTATGACATAAATACTACATTATACATATATGTATATATGCCTATATGTATTCAAGCAAATCACACACACATTTATATTACACAGGGTGTACATTAGAGAGTAGGAAGTCAAGTCAATTAAGTTTTTTTTTTTTAAATTTTTTGGAAGTTGTAGATGGACAGAATGCCTTTATTTTTTTTATTTTTATGTGGTGCTGAGGATCGAACCCAGTGCCTTATGCATGCTAGGCAAAATGCTCTGCTGCTCAGCCCCAGCCCCAGCCCCTCAACTAAGTTTTTTTTTTTTTTTTTAAAGCCTCACATCTTTACACAAGAATTCACTCACAATGTATCATACAATTAAAGTAAATCATAATACTATAAAACTTTTAGGAAAAAGGAGAAAGTCTGGACCATAGGACTTTGACCAAAGTTCTTTGACTTGATACCAAGAAGTGAACCATACCAGGAAAATCTGATAAATTCCACCAAAATTAAAAATTTTTGGTCTATGAGCCTGTTTAAAAAATGAAAAGACAAAGTTTGGAGCAGGAGGAAATATTTGCAAACTGAATTATTTAGTAAGTATTAATATTCAGCATCTCTCAGGTGATTAATTCTGCCATTTGGTACCATCCTCTATCATGGGATCCTATTTGTAAACATCTCTTACCTTTTCCCCCAAATCAAAATGACCTAACTTAATATTCTTATATGAATTTTACCATATAACAACCAAAATATAGACGTTTGGCAGTATCTATGGAAAATTCTGTACATAATGGCTCAGCGGCACTTTGAAGCAGGTTAGCAATGCTACACTCAAAGGCCAAGGACAACACATTTATAAAAGGTCTCATCAAGATTCATAGTCTCTATTGATACATTTCGAGCTTTTTACTTTAAATTGTCAAAATTAGCACTTAATATAATCCATTATATCCAGGAGAGTTGGGTGAAAATAATCATGTCAGTCGAAAATAAAATAAGTCATTAGCTACTGTCATGGCTAGATTATTCTGGTTTATGCTTTATAAACAGAATGGGAAGAAAGAGGGGAAATCTTAAATTCAAAAGAAAACATATTTATGCTTCTAAGTAAAATAATATCCATTTATTTAAAAAACAATGACACTGTAGACACCATTGGCTGTATAACTACATCCATTTCCCCTCTTCTTTTTTTATGGTTTTCCTTTCTTGCCTAATTCCATCACCAGCAGGTGGATCCTGATTGGTCTAGGCTAAGTTTGGTCCTTTTGGTCCTCCTGCAAAGGATTGGGCATGCCAGGCTGAGCATGTGACCTGCTCTGGCCAATGAGATATGAAGTGAGGTGAGAGACCAGGTGCTAGGAAAGATTTCCTTACTTTTCAGGAGGAGACCCCAGAAATTATCTATTCCTTTCTGCCTCTGGATAGTACAGATCTGGGAAACATGCCGGGGACTCCTGGGCTATCTTGGAATCACTTTAACAGTGAAACCAGCACAGGAGGTAGAGCCGTGAAAATGCCAGAGACGCAGAGCCAGAGCCTGCCCTCCCTCGGGACTTCTTGTTCTGCAAAGTCTTCCATTCCTATGATGTCGGTGCCGACCACAGAGGTGTTCTGTTACTTGTAAAGAACCCTGACTGGCATGGGGGATACAGGAGCCCCTTGACCCAGAGAAAGTAGACAAACAAACAAGCCGAAGGGGGAAGGAGGGCATACCTGTTCTTGTGACTCGAGTTCTCTGTGCTGTAACTTTTTCTCTGCACATCGCACCTGATTAGAGCGGTTTTCTAGTTCCTCTTGTAAAACCTGAAATGGTGTAAAACAAACACAGCAATGTTAAAAATTAGCTTACTTGGAAAAAATAGTCTTGCCAGATGAACTGGCATTAAAAAAGCCCTAGATCTCTAGTTTATTACTGTTGTTCCATACAGTTCAGACACACAAAATAAGGCTATTGTGTGTTAAGCCCAGATGCGTTCTGTGTTAAGAATACCTAGTACAAAAAATTCCAAACTTAGGAAACAAATTAGCAGATGTCAATTCACATTATAAAAATGTCTCATATTCTCAGCATAGAACCACAACCATGTAATAAAGCATCAAGCTATTTCTAATTAAAATAGCCCTCCCAGGGGCTGGGGATGTGGTTCAGTAACAAAACACTTGTCTAGCATGTGTGAGACCCTGAGTTTGATCTCCAGTACTGCTCAAAATAATAAAATAAAATAGCCCTTCCAGTACACCTGCAAGTATACTTATACTCTGAAAGGTATTGAAATAGAGAGGAATCATAATACCTAATCAACATAGCATTTCTCAAAATTATCAAATGGTTAAATTATTGTAAACTTAAAGGAATTTCTTTATGAAGTTAGAGAGAATAGTGTGGCATTTGAAGAAAGTACAATGACTGGACAAGTATGAACTCTCAGTTGTCAATTCAGGTTAATATAGGGAACTTAGAAGTCACAAAAATCAATAATTATCCTTGTATCAATTGCCATTTTAAGTAAAAAGATAACTAGAAAAGAAACAGGATCCATTCGAATAGTCCCAAGTAATAATAGAAATAACCATGGAGAGTTCCAGTGAGCAGCACAGAGGATGACAACACAAAGATGTCGAGTAAATCCTCAAAGTAAAATTCACATAGTCAATATTACTGAGTTCCTGCTTTATGTCGACATTGCAATAGGTGCTACAGATGTAGCTCTGAAACAGACCCCAAAAAATCACCCCGTCCATAATGCTTACATCATAACACGGCAGGTTAACATGCAAACAGTAAGTATAATTCAGTTGGTGATAAGTGCAGAGGGAGACCAAAGCAGAGAAAGGGGATATCCCAGCATCAGGTGGGGAAGGGGTGCTGCAGTTTTAAACAGATGGCCCAAGAAGGCGCAACTGAGCACAGTCCTGAAGGAGGACAGAGGACAAGCCACACAGGTGTCTACAGGACAGCCTTCCAGGAAGCAGAAAGCAGAATCAGCTGCATCAAGACCTTGAGGAAGCCACAGAAGCCAGTGAGAAGATGGAGCGATAAGATCAGGGACATGACAGGGCTCAAGTCACCCAGTCACATGGTATGTCATAGGTCAGTTAAGGACTTTGGGTTTTGCTCAGAGGCACATGGGAAGCTCCTGCAGGGCTGTGGGGAGGCGTTGCTTTGGTAGACTAGAAAGGGAGGAGGCAGAGCAAGGAGGCAGGTCAGAGGCCACTGCAATCCACTGGGAAAGGGAATTAGATGGAGGGTGTGGGGAGCAGTTGGTGAGGGAAGAGTTGGATTCAAGATATATTTTGAGGATAGAAATGGTAGCCCCCAAGGAAGTAGATGCAGAGCATAAGAAAAAAGAGGGCCCCAAGGAATTGGCCTGAGTAGTTAGAAGAGTGCAGTTAGCACTTACAGAGATGGGGCAGGTGGGAGAAGCACTGCGGCTCAGCCTGGTGTGTATGTCTGAAAGGCCTATTACGCATGCAAGTGAGACCCTGGGTGGAAAAGCCCAAAGTTCAGACAGAATGTCAGGGTGTCCATGAAAAGCCCCTTCAACGCAAGGCCAGTCTCCTCTATGTATACATACATAGACAGTGGGGCTTCTCCATCATGGCGTTCCAGAGCCCTCTGAGCATTTGATGGAAGCTATGTGGCCGGTTCCCCAAAATGGAGGAAAATATATGCTTATCATTTTTTCTCTGATTTTTAAGGAGTACACAGATTGCCTGAAGCCCATGCATGGATAGACCTCAGGCTAAGAAGTTCTAATTTAAAAATTGAGAAGGTTTGAGAATGAGCTCAAGTGTTTTAGGGTCTCTTTGATATAAAACTTGATTACAAATCTACAGTTTGACTAAGTCTAAAAATGAGCTTGGAAATCTCTTAAACTCCTTAATTGTCTCTAATTCTGTTACTATGGTCTGTTTCCAAAAGGCTGAATACAATTGTTCCTGTGCTTGTTGTTCAAGCAGCATTCTTTTACTTTTGATAGCCACCAGTAAATAGATTTTAGCTTCTTTTCTGGCATAATTAGGAGAGTAATGATTACTGCACTGGGAAGAATATTCATGCATCTGCTTCTCTGCCCCTGCTCCTTCCTGCTCTCTAATCCGTCCTCACACTGCTGACAGAGTGATCTTCTTAAACCTAAACCTGATCATGTTATTCCCCACTGAAATGCCGAAGCCACTCTCCAGCACCACCGATTGCACACCACTAAGGACCTGGCTGAAGCCTCAGTGTGCCAGTGTGTGACACGATGCTCTTGTCACTCTCAGTAACAACAGGAGATGGGTGGGTTTTACTTTTACCCTCCCTCTGACCCTGTCGTGCAGGTATTATTTCAGCAGCATGAGAGAGGAGCCCACTGAGGCTCAGCGTGGTTATGCAGATTGCTCCAATCCAGATGTGGCCAGGAGGAAGGCACTGAACTGGGATTTCAACCTTCCTCTGACTTCAAATTCAACATGTCTGGGCGCCTTCCTGCTGTCCCGATCTCATTCTGTACCTCTTTTTTCTTTGTCCAGAAGCCCTGTCCCACCTACTATGTTCAATGGCCTCATCCCTCTGACCTATGCCAGAGCCAAGCGAGGACTCCTCTGGACTCTTAACTACCTGGTGTTGAGAATTACTTCATGTCTGTGTGCGGCTGGCTCTCTCAGGGCTCTCTCCTCACCATCTCTGCCAGGCCTGGTGCCACATCCATGTGATGCCTGGCATACATGTGACTCAATTCCTGCTTGTGGAGGGACTCTTTAATAATTGAACTCTACTCCCTGAGGACATGTCCTTCAGTCATCAGAGTTTCCAGCTGTCCTTAATTCGGTACATGTAACTGAAGGTTATGATGTGTCTTGAAATATAGAATATACAAACACAAGTTCCGTTAACCTGTATACAGACACACATGATAATTACTATTTGTAATAATGTTATCTGGTTTCTTCTAAAATAAAAAAATACTTTTTAAAGAAACTTTGTTTTTTAAATTTCACACACAAAAAGTAAAGGATCCGCGCCTCTCCCTTCCCTACCCCGAGCTGTCTCTCTTCTTTTTCACTGCAGTCCCCTAAGAGTGCCTGCATTCAGTGTCTGCTCCCATTTTCTCAGCCCCCCATCATACCTGCCTCTATTGAGCCTGACCTCACTGTCACCTCCCAAGTGCCAAAGACAGCAGCTATTTCTCCCTCATTCTATAGCAGTATTTGGTCTCTTCACATCCAATTGTGTTTTTCCCTTGAATTTTGAAGAATTAATTCTGTCCAGCCAAGTCACAGGACTAAAAAATCAGGCTGCTGCAAAAGAGAGGGCAAATATAAAGAGGCCTTAAGCAAGGGCAGCGTGGACAGACAAGTGGACAGAGGCAGTAGAATCTTTACCCGGGGATCAGCGGAAAGAGGGACTCTTTCTTTACCATGAGGCTTAGTCCTAAAAGACCAGAGGGAAGTGAGAATATAGAGCACATCAGAAACGGTGGGGCAGCACCGTGTTTGTTAGGGTTAAGGCACTGCAGGACTTCAAGGAGGACCACCTGCTGTGGTCTGGATATTTATATCCCCAGGATCTATATGTTGAAATCCAAGGTAGTTGGCCTTAGGAGGTGAGCCCTTTGGGAGGCAGAGCCCTCATGAATGGGACTAGTGCCCTTAGAAAACAGGCCCAGGAGAGGTCCCTGGCCTCTTCCACCATGTGGGGACAGAGCAAAAACAGCCACCTGTGAACCAGGAATCCAGCCCTCATCAGATGCCAAATCTGCCACTGACCCACCTTGGAAGTCCAAGTATCCAGAACTGTAAGAAATAAATGTGTGTTGCTTCTAGTTCATAGTCTGTGGGGTTCTGCTGAGCAGCCTGAAGTGCCCTGAGGACCTGTCCAGCTGTGGCAGGGCAAAGGTCTGAACAGGGCAGAGGGCTCTCACAGGTGCACGTGGGATGCTTCCTTAAGAAGTAAGCAAAATGAGAAGAGGGCCTGAAACCTGCCCTTTGGGGGGCACCCACACTTAACACCGGGCAGGGGAGGAGAAGGTGCTGTGAAGGGAGCTGCTGGGAATCGAGATGGGTGGGAGGTGACTGAGAAGTTAGTATGAGCAAAATCTAGCTGAAAGAAAATTTCAAAGAGGACAGGGTAACAACATCAGACCTGAGCCCTTCTCCACACTCTGTGTGTGTATATTTTTAAAATCACGTTTGTGAGGCAGGCGCTCTACCACTGAGCTACAGCCCCAGCCCAACACTCCGTACATTAAGAGACTATTGGGTTTACCATATTTTATCAGTATTATCAAAATAGGATTCAAATTACACTTGTTTTTCACTTAAAATTTGCTTATAGTTAAAAATATAAAATATTATCCATTCAAGGTTAATCAGAGAAATTAGTTATGTTTAGAAATTACTTTTATTATCTATTAGAAAGTCAGCTTAAAAAACTGAAAAGTAACCAAATAATATTCCATTTTCAAAATAGGTAAAGTGTACTACATGAAAGGAAAATGATAGCTTATATCAGCCACTGTTTCTGGTTTTATATTCTAAAAAAATTACTATTAAGACATACTATAAAATTTATTATTAAAATTGCTATTAGTTCCAACCTCAGAAATTGACATAAGGACTGTGTGAAAATAACCATGATTTTTCAGTAAACAAAACTGGAGAGAACTTTCTTTTAAGTGTGTCTTCTTTATTTTAAAAACCTCCAAATTTGACATTTTACACACACACACACACACACACACACACACACACAACTTTTAGGTTATCCCTGAGAAAGGCACAATATAACTGAGTGAAATGTTCATTCTTAGGTCAAAAAT